AGGGTGAGGCGGCGCCTGATAATCAATATCAGCTCGAAGCATGCCGATGAAATATGCACGCACATGACTAAGTTCATCTCGTATGATTTCATCTGTCACTCCATCAATCAACACGAAAAAAATCGAGACAAAGCAATTACGTACATTGAACGCGTAGTTGATCAGGTTTTCTGCGATCCCTGCGAACATATCCATGCTTGTAAGGATATGTTCCATATGATGTACGTCTGCCTGCCACCGCATCTCAGCTCAGCCAAAGGAGTAAAAACAAGTCACGACACACCAAGTATATTTTACTCTTATGGGACATGAACCCCTTCACTTTCTCCTCCTTTGCTCTTGGACCTCCTTCTCAGCAGACGAGAGCAGTGCAGCACACCGGTCCTCGTCGTACCGCCGTAGCCCATAAATGACCGTCTTGAGAGGCCCAAGGGTCCGCTTATGCAACATCAATCACCGGAAAGAATATGCACTGGTTTCAGGGCTGTCAACACAAACAGAAACAGACAAGGGGAATGACACGCACGCCTTGAAACCACTTTCATATCTGGCTTCATCAACACATCGTATTCCAGCTGCAATATCTTCTCATGAAATGCATCCACTACCTCGAGTGCAGAATCCACAATGAGGTCGAGCAGACTTTGAACGAGCAGACTGGGGTCCGCGGATGCACGCAGCCCCGTGTCGGGCTGTCGGAGACGCGTCATAATGGGACATGCGAAATCGATGAAATTGGACGGCATAACAGAGATTACTGTGCCTGTGTTAGGTAGAGTCAGCTATGATCACTCGAAATTGGGATGCAGCTCAAACTCGAAGCATATATGTCAAATCAAGAGCAAAAATGCGCACAAATCGCGGTATATGCATCGAAATAAAAGCATATAGTGACTTGATGGTGAATGTCGGCTCAAAATCGGGATATATGGACCATCATATGCGCGACCCACCCGATGTGTATACATTCCGATGGGCATGAATTAATGCAAGTCAAGTCAAGTAGGCCAAGAAGGAAGGACGGGGTATGACAGTAAACAAATACAAAATAACACAATCATGAAACAACTGGAAAATGAGTCCAGGACTCACCATCTCTCAATAAGAAAATTGATATTGGGTGAATGGAGACGTTTACGCGGCCTGCCTTCTTTAGATCTGTGAGAGTTATCTGAGCTTTTTCCCTGCGTTTTTGGGACTGCGCAGCGAGGACGTTGCGATGAGTATTGGTTTGGAACTGCGTCGATCAAGAGGAGAGTAGAAAAGAGTAAAAAAAATTACCGTCGACAAAGGTGGACATCGAAATGTGGTGAGTCACGTCGAAGCAGGTTGGAGATAAAAATGAAAATACAATGAGGGAAAACACAATGCGAGAGACACAACGCACCGCACTCTCTTTCCGTGTAGCAGACATAAGTGGGGTTAAACCTTCTTCCTTGACCCTTGCCGCACTTTCCATGTCAGCTTTCGCTGACCTTCTGTTCCTGACAGTGCTTCCAAGTCGCCAGGTTGCAGGCGCACTGCTGCCATATATCGTGCGATCTTCATCACCAGCCTCTGCATGGACGTTGTTATCCTTGAAATATTCCTTGTGGTAGTCCCCTGGCGTCATTGGACTTGGTGAGGAGCTCCGTGGTAGGTCTTCGTCTTCTGATGTGTAGGAGTTTGGAGATGAGGAGGAGGAAGCGAGTGTGTGAGATAAGACATGGATAAAGAGGTGTTGACTGTAGTAGTCCGTTTTGGAGCGCGTGTGTCCGCATTTGTGCAAGACGTCTTCGAGGGCAAGGGGGTGAAGGTCTACGCACGATGATTATTAACACCTGACATTAAGTATCACGGGCTCTTTACATACCATATTTGAGGGCAAGCGCACTCATCACATCCCAGCTGATGCCGCACACATTTATCCATCTCACCTTCACCCATGGCTCCCTCTCCGAACTTCTCTCATCGTTGAACATTTGGACAAAACGCTCATTATCCATCTTTCCAAAGCTGCTCCTCACGGTACTATAGTCAGTGATCTGGATCTCGCAACGCTCGCGAATGTGCGCGTAATGGAGATACGCGGACTGCCTGCGCGGGTCAACGCCAGGTTCTGCACCGGCGAGACTGAAGCCTGAAAGGACGGTTGTTGTCCGGTGCATGGAAATCACTTTGCGAACACATGCACGGAAGCGATCTTTGGGAGTTTGAAAATGGAGGGCAGGAGCACGTTTTGGCCGCAGTGAGGCCGGGATTATTGATGATGGTGCACGTCGCCAAGACTGACTTATAGGTGCAGGCTTTTGGGAGGATCCATTGGAGGATAGAGACGGTTCAACGTCACTGGCAGCAGGAGATGCGGAACGCGGTGCTGGACTCAGCGATGTCATGGATTCGTCCTCAAGATCAGGCGTCAAGGAACGCTTGTCAGAGTCCGTGAAACTGTTTTCGCGAGGCATGGCAAGTTGTAATCTAGTGTATGGCACACTGGAGAGTAACTCGGCTCCAGAGTGATAAGAAGCCGCACGGCTACAGGGGTGAATGGATTTCTAGAAGACGTATAGAAAAGGATCCGAGTTAAGAAGTAGTATGAATTTGGGAGACATTGAGTTGCGCCTTGCCTCCAACAGGAACGTTGAATCCAACGTACTTACGTCGCGAGTACGTTATAGGCAAGTTACAGCTGGCTGCCAGCATTATATAAATTTGCCCGAGTCGTTTAGGTATATGTGATTAGGCTAGTGGCGAATTGTCTAATCAATCATGATTGACTGAGTTAGATGAGTCGCACCGTGACCGAGTCCCAGTAATGCACCAGTCTACCAGGACCCGTCCGAGTCACAACTCCAGTCACCGTCCCCCCCACTGTCTCCATCGTCATCATCGCCCTCATCATCGTCATCGCCTTCATCATCGCCCTCATCATCGTCATCGCCTTCATCATCGCTATCGCCCTCGACGTCCTCATCATCCTCAACCCCCTCGCTGCTTTCATCATCCTCCTCAACTTCATCCTCCTCACTGCCTTCGTGCCCTTCATTGCCTTCCACTCTTTCGTCATCACTGTCTTCATCGGAGTCCTCTCTTTCAACCTCCTGATCGATTCCAGAGGAGCTGTCGTTGTTGTCGGACCCGTCGCTTCCATCCAGGCCAATGACCTCATCACGGTCAACCCCTTCGTTGCCCTCGTCATCCTCGTCACCCCTCTTGTCGTGTTCGTCGTGCTCGTCACCCTCACTGCCATTTCCTTCGTCACTCTCCTCTCCTTCGTCGTCCTCCAGACCCTCTCCTTCCGTATCCTGGTCGGGTCCAGAGGAACTGTCGTCATCTGACTCGTCACCTTCATCACTATTACTGTCAGACCAGTGCCCACACCAATTCCCAGACCAGGTCCCAGGCCAAATCCGAGACGGGTTCCCAGGTGAATTCCCATCGTCGACGGCATCGTTTGGATGGAGCTCGCAGTATTGCTGATGTGCAAACAGCACAATTTCTCCGATCGATGGTCGACTGACACGAGGCAACCAACACCGCTGTATGAACTCCCAGTGCACGGGTGCAACTTGCGAACCCTTGGGGGGCTCTGGTTTCTTTCCTCTGACGACATGTCCCAACACTACATTATCCTTCTTCACATCGTAGTAGGGTACCTTGCAAGTCAATACCTAGAGCATTCGCAAAGTGAATAAAAGTTTTTTGACCAAAAACTCAAGTTACTCACCTGCAAGACGATGCTGCCAAATGAGTAGATGTCACACTCAACGCTGAGCGACACCGACGCATCATCTTCTTCATCACCTTCGGGCATGTCATATAGCTCTGCAGCTGCCCATCGGATATGTCCTCTGATGGAACTCGTGAGATAGGAAGTACCGACAAACTCCTCGATCATAGTCGAGAGACCGAAATCAGTGACACATGCCCGACCGTTGCCATAGATCAAGACATTTGACTAGAGAATCGGGACATCAGTAATGAGGAATACCGCTCTGTATGTCGCCATACGCACTCCTGTCAGATCACCGTGTACAATTGATTTACTATGGACTGATCCTTGTGAGCATTTGAAAAAATCAGGTGGAGTGAAGGACGACTTACGATATTGCAACCCAAGGGCAATATCGGTCAACTGACGTGCATCAACAGAACAATAAATGTCTAGAAATACTCGCGAGCATGGGCTTACAAGGGTGAACTTATCTTCCAATGTCAACGTGTCTTCCTGGCGCTCAAGAAAGGCCGTCAAAGTTCCATTATTAGCCCATGGGCAAACCATTGCGAGATAGGGTCCAAAGTCAGTTGCTACTCCCCAGAGTGGAAGAATACTGTTGTGTTTGAGACGGCCCCAAACTTTCAGCTCGCGACGAATTCTCTATGCTGAGTCTATTGTGGAACCACAAAGTATTATTGAAAGGGACGTTACCTTTCTGTTCTTCTGCATCAACGCCTCGTTATCAGACTGTAAAGCACGAATGGTCTTTACTGCTACTAGTACCTTGGTCATATTTAGGAAAATATATGACGAAGTGCACAGGCTGGCCTTACCGGGACGGTCTCATCTGGCTTCGCTAAACAACACTTATAGATGTCTCCATAGCCTCCGCAAGTTACAGGAAACGGCGACCTATTCTGGAGTTCCTTGGTGAGATCTTGCAGCAAGCCTGAGGAAGAATGTGCTGATTGTTGATCGGCATCACTGGTAGGTTCATCTGTTGTTGTTGTCTCCAAAAGAAATGGAATAGAAGTCTGTGGGTAGCTACGTGAGTCGGATGTGTATGTAATTCGATGAAGCGAAGGTCCATACACTCATGAGAGGCAGAACTTGTGTAGTGTGCGCGAAGAGATAGAGGGACTCCAGTCAGCTACATACTTTTAAAGTCTAGGCCGCGGTTGCGATTTCGGTACCGTTGCCCCCTGGAAGTTCCAATGCAGTACTTAACAAGGCATTTACGTACTGCACAGTCCATACTAGTAGTACTACTAGTCATCGTCTGGAAATGACTTTCTGAGGGGTGGCCAAATGACTCAGATTAGACACGGACGCGTATGGGACCCCATGCACCGCTAGTACTATCAGTGCGACGGTCGTGTCGATGACTCGACTCGAAGTTCAACGATTATTGGGAGTTATTGTATGTCGTAACGACAAGGTCGTTATAAATTCTTGCACAGACTTGGGGCACAACTAACGCACCTATAACAGCCCGGAAATTTTCAGTAGAGCTCTGATCTATCCAGAAGATGACTGATTGTTATCGCTGTAATCGCTACTTCAGCTCCAGGTCTGCTTACAACTAGCATGTCCGAGACTCCAGCAATCACTAGAAATGCCGATATTGTCACGGTGAAGCCGATTTCAAATCCTGGCGGGGACTCAAAGAACATTATGTTCAGAGCCATCCCTGATGCCAGTATTGCAAAGTCCATTTCGACTCCCCGTTGAAGTTACAGGATCATTACGAAGGCGATCATGTTTACTGTAACTCATGTAACAAGGTTTTTCAAGAACAACTTCGGTCTGCACGAACATAATCGACAGAAGCTTGAGCACGCCGACCTGTACTGCATTGCGTACAGAAAGCTTTTCCAGACTACAAATGGCCTTCGCTCTGTAAGCTTCACTCCATTCTTAGATTTGGGAAAAACCTGACCTAGACGAACTAACATCAATCGAACTCTAGAAAACACCAAACTTGAACCGTCAGTGACTTGGATAGCACCCGCCACCAGGAGAGTGCGGATCGTTGCCCTCTCAATAGCTCCAGACCTGCATCACAATTTAAAACAGCAAGTTTGTCACATGTAGTTCTCCATGGCTTTTCGTCTCCATAGGCTATAACTGACACTTCTTTTTCAGTCCTCCGTTCATTCGAATGTTATATCCACATTGTTTCTTTCGTCACAGATAATATTAATCAGTTTATATTCTTCTACTATTTTTATTTATTCTTTAGCTGGCATCACCGCCTTACTTATTACAAGTCACTATCTGCGAACCTTAACATCCTTATTGACTCATAAACCCATTATAATGTCCGGCGGTTCTGGCTAAAGCGGGTTTCTTAATCCCCTTCAGTTATACATGGTAGTCATACCTAACATACGTCCTCCGACATTCATGACACAGATATTATTATTTGGTGTTCACCAAGGAGAATCCATTTCATACCGATAGATCAAACCGATATCTCGGTAAACTGGTATATCAAAATTTAACAGCCTTTTTTTCTGTCGCAAATGATCATATTGTAACAACACGAATTAAACTTGTAAGCACAGTGAAGATTAGGACTATAGAAGCATAGGAACCAGCCGACAACCGTGGACTGGAGCTTAACGCCACATGTGCCTTGGCCCTATTGAAGCCACCGGTGTTGACACTATCCTATCAATCCTATCAATCTCTTCTCATTGAAGCCGCTGGCGTATTAACACCGTCCCATCGACTGTCATGAGCCAAGTACATCACAATCACGATGACGCTCTCGCCTTCAAACAAGTAATGAGGCCATCCAATGACCCCCAGATTTCATGGCAGGATATATTCGACTGTTAGCGACGGTAATCGTCTCTCCGTCTGTTTGCAGCCCGACCTAAGCTGGAGTGATACCACGTTTGCATCTGAATGGAGGTATGAGGACATGTCATATCTTGATTTCAAATATTTCTTGGGCCGAGAATCGGTCCTACGAGAGCTTCCCCACCGTTTGGCGCTGATCAAGGTTCTCCGCATTGCTTCTGTACGGACATATCAGCCCTTTGATAAGACGAAAACAATTATGAATGATGGTTTGACAGGATGGTGGCATCACGGGGCTTCGGGGTTAAGGCTATAGCATATAGAATGGCTTCAACGGGTAACAGAAGCAAAACCATCATGTCGCAGTTCTCCGCATATGCTTCTATATGGACATATCAGCCTTCTGATAAGAGACGGAACATGATAGAATGATAATCTGACAGGATGGTTGTATCACGAGGCTCCGGAGTTCAGGCTATATCATGTGGAACGGCTCTCAACAAGCGACACAAGCAGAATCATCATGGCACAATCCACTCCTCGAGTTTGGTTGAGTGAGTTGGTGCATGTAACTCCTCACCGTGCGGGTCACTGACTGATCGTAGTCACCGGGTCTTCCACTGGGTTCGGCAGGGCGATGGTCGAAGAGGTCCTGCGTAATGGCGAGATTGCCGTTGCAACTCTGCGCAAGCCCTCCGTCCTTGATGATCTTGCAGCCAAATATCCGCGCACTCAGCTCCTAGTACTCCCCCTGGACGTGACGAACGAAGCGCAGGTAAAATCTGCCTTCGCACAAGCCAAGGATGCCTTTGGGCGCGTCGACGTCGTATATAACAACGCCGCGCAGGCGGTTTTTCAGGAGGTGGAGGGGACGTCGTTGGACCGTGCCAGGAAACTTATGGATATCAATTTCTGGGGCGCGGTAATGGTAAGCTTTGAGGCGGTCAGATTTTTTAGAGAAGTGAATCCGAAGGGCGCTGGGGGAATGCTGGTCCAAGTATCGAGCATGGCAGGGACCACCGCAGTCCCGCTGATCGGGTTCTATAGCACCACGTGAGTGGGATGGTGCTATTTTGGTCGAGTGTTGCTGAAGAATTTTGTGTTCATAGGAAAGCAGGTAATGTTGTTTGTGGCAGACTTTGTGACTTTGACTCACCACCGTTAGCCTTGGATTCATTCACCGATGTCCTGGCACAAGAAGTACTTCCCGCTTGGAACATTCGTGTGAGTAGCTGAAGGAATGACAGTCGCAGACCGCTGAGTGGCCATACAGTTCGTGAATGTTCACCCAGGTTGGACACGCACGCCTATTGTAGAATTTCCATCAAGTGAGATGCCCGAGCCTCCAGCACCGTATGCATCGGAACCAACAGCCGTAACAATGAAGATTCGTGCTGGATTCGATGCGTTCACCATAAGTGACGCACTGGCTGACGTTGAGGTTGTGACGAAACGCATTTGGTCGGTGACGCAGATGGACGATGAATACTTGCGCAAGGGTGTTCAGGAGAGCATTCCAGGCCTTGTGAACGTGCATACGGGCATGGACTCGCTGGAGCGTGTGCATGCCAAGATTGGGCGGCTGCAGGGTGAGCTGATGTGGAATACGAAGGTTCATTATGAGTACTAGTAAAGTTCTCGTGCATGATTCCCATGCACTCCCGAACCAAGCCTGAAATTGTCAGGCTTGCCTTCAATTATCGACGTTGTAGCTGTAACGTTGTACCAGTATTACTGTGGTATTTCACTCGATTCGACCACCTGGGTTGCCCTATTAATAAGCCTTATTATATTTGGTAGTCACGTGTCCCGCCAACTATAATTAGGCTTGGATCCGTTAAGTCTCAACACCAGCATTAAATAGTGCCCCAGCTCTCCAAAATACCTTTAAGAAATACTGTATCTACCTCACTATGGTGGGAGTGGGCGCACAGGCCTGTTTGGCAACCAACCTGCCTGGTATTAGTTGCGTCATCTGTCTATTTTAATCTGGCACCTTCTGCAATGCCTGCTACACTTCCTAATTTGAACCAAGAGGCTTCTCACCTCAGGCAGTACTTCTTGGTGCCAATAAAGGGTCTTTCAGACCCGGTTTCTATGTTTTGGGAAACTGGGCTGAGAGGCCCCTTAGCCGGGAGGATCCTCCATATGTAAATAGCTACATTCTAAAAATATAACTCTTCGTTGCCCTCCTTTTGTGCACCTTCACCTGTACTTGACCATGTTATGCATAATCATGGCTTATTAGACACAGGCCGTCATGCATGGTTACCTGTAGTCCTTGACATTATGCATAATCCCCTCGACTGTATGTATAGTAGTGTTCTCCATAATGCATAATGCCCTTGACTGTCATATATGATGCTTCGGATCTTCTCTTTCCATGTTCCTGGCTGCATCCTTCTATGATTGTGATCTCGGAGACTTGCCAATCAAAGATTATATATAGCACTACTAATACATCCTTCTAAAATCAGAGACTGATGCAATCACTGATTATATATAGTGCTACCCCACACATCAGAAAAAGAAGCCTTGAGATTAGATATGTTATCCTACTTGTATTCAGGGCACCACTACTGCTGGGGGTAAGCTTGCCACAGGAACTGCACACCATTTTCTTAGGCAGTTGTCCTGCATCATGATCTGAAGGGCCACCTGGCACTTCGCATATGCTTCAAGGCCTTCTAACTCTGCAACGTCCAACCCAATCCTCCAGCTTGCCTGATCCTTCCACCATGTCATGTGCCAGTTGAAGAACATGCACACACACCACATCTCCTCCTGGAGAAGCTCTACCTCTTCTGTCCAATGATGTGTGCATGCCCGAGATTTACACCACTCTACACATAGTGCTGTGTGATAGCATTTTAGCTCATATCAATCTAATAGACAATTTCTTACCATCAGCAAGAATGGTCTCTCCTTCCCTGTCTCCAGTAGTGATGCTGCATGCCTTCCAAATCCATGATAAAGTTTGATTACCTTTGGATTGGCCTACATGGCCATCAGACATTCCCTGAACATGCTCAGGTTCTAGCTTGAGTAGATCATCTCTCCAGCTATGTTCCTGCAAAATGTCGCCAAGAATAACTAGTGCAGTCCAGGCCTGATGGTACTGCTCTGCATCTGTCTTGATGCTAAGCTCCACCTTAGCGAGAACTCCCACTGCACGTGTATTGGCCTGTTGGCCACACAATTGATTGGCTTTGAACTTGTATAAGTGGCTGCACAGTCAGAGGTGTCAATGGAGGTCATCGAGAGTGTCATATGCTTGTGCCTGTCGCAGCTCCCATTCATATCTGCACAAATGTTCCTCACAAAACTCGTTTTAACCCCTTTTGAGCTGGGATGGCAACCACAGTTTGACCTCGTAGGGTTTTTCTTCCCATGAGCTTATGGTACTAGCTGTATTGGATGTGTGAACATGGACGACCATAGGCATGTATAATACCTGGACCTTGCACCATTGCTCGATTTCGCATTGTAGTGCATTGCTCTGTTCTTGCAATTTTGTAAGCTGAAGGTCCGTTGAGTGAGGACCCAAGGCAGCATACTCTCTTTCCAGCTGGCATCTAAAACATTGAGATAAAGATGCAAGGAACAAAAATATAAACTTACTGCTGGTCCTCTATTTCAATACCCAATGACACAAGAATGCTTGACGATACCTCCATATGCAGTGAGTAGTTGAGGCTGTGTTCCAGGTCTTCTGCTTCCTTCTGCGAGAGATGCAGTCGTACTGCTGTGGGAATCATATTTCAGCTGGCCAAGCTGCTGAGTGGAGAGCAGTATGTTCAGCCCATGGGATTCTGACTTGGCTCAGTGCTCAGAGAGTAGAAATTATCATCAAAAGGGACTGTCATTCAGGCTGGTACTGACACTAGTGAAAGAGATACATGCTTAAGTAAGCAGCAAAAATGCAAACATAAGCTAAAGAAAGTGAGGGTAGGTAAAGGTAAGTAAAGTAAGTAAATCTAAGCCCAAGGAAAACTTGACTGTCATACCACCACAAGAGACATAGCTGTGAAAGAATGAGAAACATAAGATCAACATAAAAAAACTAATGCACTTGTAGTTGTAACCTTGAAGGGATTCGTCTGTGATCTATCAGCTTCCCAGCCTTCAATAGCCAGCTTCCACCAAGCAACTTCCTCTGGTTGTTCTGCAACCAATGTATCATTGAAATCATTGAAGTCGATGAGGTGCTGATCACGTTGAGGTATGGCCACCATGAGCTTTTGGAATAGACTGATGTCTTGATGCCAAAATGTTAGTAAGAGATTCCGATCACACGATGTAGGTTCCACTCATGAAATTTGGTCACTTTCTTCCAGTTAAAATCTCCGAAGTGATCGTTGAGGGTGTTGCGGCATGAGCCAGGGCCCATCTCCCAAGTGCTTGTTGCTACAGGGTTAATGTTCGCCCACCCGTGTTCCAGTGCCTCCCCATCAGTGTGTCCCATCCCTTTGATAAGGTTGTGTGAGTATGTGACTTGGCAGAATGCAATGTGC